TATTTTATGGTGAAAATGCAAAATGGTGTATGCGCCACATAAACATGGAAATTTGTCCCACGTGGACAAACTCCAGGCCAGCACACACACATAAAGTGTGCGCTACAGTAACGTGCTGGATGGCTCTTTCTGGTTTTTCCTTTGGTCCTTTCTAGTGATGACAATAGAAGATAAAATATTCGATGAAAAGCGAAATCACTAGTCCATATTCCGAGTCCCTGGGGAAACGGATATCCAGAGGGGAAATTTAATTGGCCCAATACCACACAGCCAGGGAATGAAAACACCAGAGAGGAATCGTCAGCCAATGGTCTGCTCCCCGGGGCCCAGGCTGTTGCTGACGCAGGAGCCAGGCCTGTGCCGAGCCTCTGTGAGTTCTCACCCGCTCTCAGTCCCCAGCGCCCCTGCGCCTTCGGGGGGCCTGGGCCTGTGAGCCCTCCCGGCCTCCCACAGAACAGCCGGCCACTTTGGCACCTGCTCTGATCTAGCCGGCGTCCTGGCCGGGGCTTCCCTGGGCCTCCAGTCGCGACTCGCTCCTCTCGGCCCGGAGAAGCCCAGGAGGCACCTTCCCAAGCCCCTCGGTGCAACAGTTTGGAGTCCTTCAATCATATTCATGGATGATTTGTGTGACGTCTGCTGCCGGGCGTCACCCAGCCCATTGCTTCCCCTGCATACTCGGCGCAGACTCGGGGGAAGTCGATCCACATAAGCACAAACATATTTGCAGTTATATTCAGATGAATACATCTCCCCGACTCCACACACAGAGCTGCCATGGCAGGGGGGCAGGGAGCTATTACTGCCTCTCTTCTCGGTTCAGTTCTGAGGAATCTGCAGCCGAGAGACCCTGCGCCCGCCTGGCCACCCAAGCTCTCTCAGACCCTTCCTTGGCCGACATGAGGCAGGCCTGGGGGTGGGGGGCGGGAGGAAGCCTCAGGCCCCAGGCCCTCCGCCCTGAAGCGGTCAGAAATATTTTTTAGCTGTTCAGGGCAGCCGTCCATTCTGGAGACTGTCGTAACTCAGAACACGTGAAGGTAAACGTTAGGTTGATTCATTGCTCAGTTCCTCAGAAGTGCAGCCTGGCCGCCTGTGTCTGGGAGTCTGTGAAGGCAGCGTCCTGCCTGGCGCTCCAGAGCCTTGCAGGCCCCGCTGGGGGCCCCCACACCCCCCACATCTGTGTTTCGGCAAACACAAGTCCCCGGCACGTCATCTGTTTCTCCAAACCTCTCATCTCCCGTCCTTCTCTTTCATTCCAGAGCCCCGAGGTTTTCCTAGGGGCCATGTTATGCCTTCTTCTCTCTCCCTCCACTTTCTCCAGACAAGCTTGCCGCTTTCTCTGCAAACACCCCCAACCCAGCTCCCTAATCCGAACCAGGAACCGCCTTTGCTTTGAGGAAAGAAGCACAGGGAGACCAAAGGGTGAAGACCAGACCCGGAGCCGGCCAGCTGGGCCTGTGCATGGGGGCTGAGGAGGGAATCGGACATGGCTGGCATGCTGGGCCTTCTAGGATCCCTGAGGCTGGTATCAGAATGGGGCGAGGGGAGGAAGTTTTCATTGCCGTGCCGAAAGGCGGTAAACAATTCAGACTGAAACAAGGGTGCAGGGGCTTCAGCTGAACACCAGCAATCAGGGATTGTTGCTACATCGGAGATGACTCCGGACTCCGACCATCTCAAGGATTGTGAAATTCTTAAGTAATGATTTTTAAAAACTGTCACACAGAAAACTCAACTTTTGGGAGGGTGGTAAGTGTCTCTCACACACCTACAAAATTATGAAGAAACTGCCCCTCCCAATAGAAACTTTTTCAAAATTAAAAACTCCTTTTTGGGGTTTGGTTTTTTAAAAGAGCTATTTATTTATGCATATGAAAGGTGGGGTGCAGGCGAGAGGTGCAGGGTGAGGGGTGGGGGGGAAGAGGATTCACCAGAGACAGTAGGGAGCAGAATAAGCAGATTGATGAAATCCACTGCTGAGGGGAGCAGCGGGTGGGTCAGGAGAGGTCTGCTGCGCCCTGGGGGTCCCTCCCTGGCCAGGGATTGAACTGGTGCTGCAGTGGCTACGGACAGCTTCACAGTGCTCACCCCTTGCATCATCAGGGAGGCTCCCCAAAAACCCTCGTGAGAGTGCAGGAAGACGGGAAGGAGGGCTGGCTGCTGCAAGCCCAGCAAGACAGTCAGCCCCCCTCCAGCGAAGAGGACCCCGCGAAGAGGAAGCCATCCATACTTGTCCTTCCCTCCCAAGCGCCTCCCTCAGGTCATTTTATGAACTGTGTACTCCTGGAAACATGGAACAGGGAGACCACGAAAGAGGGAGAGAAGCATATAAAAAGGAAAACCGGTAACAGAGGAGGATGCACAGGAGAAAGGAAGAGGCAAATAAAAGGAGTGGGTGGCAAGGAAAGAGGGCGCGCCCCGCCTGTGTCCCCCTCTAGAAGCAGCTCCAGGGCCTGACCCCGGCAGCACCAACCCTCTATCCCGGCTCCCGAGCGGCCCGCCGGGGAAGGTGAGGCGAGAACGGGAGAAGAGCAGAGGGTGTGAGCCGGCAAGAGCTCAGGCCTGGGAGTCGAGGCGCCGGGTCCCCGGCCTCACGCTCTCACCGAGCGGCTGAGGCCCAGCGGAGGGCTGGAGTGGGGTGTGGGGGGGCGAAGGCCAAAGCCAGCAGGGAGAGGAGCTTCCAGCGCGGGGGAATGGGCCCAGCCAGGCCGGCCAGGGCCCACCTGCCCCCACCCCGCCCTTGCGGCAGACGGAGTCGCAGAATTCCAGGGGCACCCCGGCTTCCCAGAAGACAGCCACAGCGGCCAAGGGGGAAGCTGAGGGTGTAGTAATACCCCAAACCTTGCACCTCGGCAGTCCCCAAATTTATCCGCAAGCTCAATCCTCGGCTTCCTGTCCCCTCTTCCTGGCGCGTCACCAAAGGATCACACCAGGCTTTGCTGAGCAGAGGCCTCGTTACCGGCTGCTCGGCCTCCCCGGCTGGGGGGCTCACGTGAGCCACAGGAGGAGATGCACCTGTTTGCAGAGGTGCCCGGGGTAGAGGGAGCTAGGAGAGTCCCAGGTTGATGCAAGAAAGATAGTAATTAGATGGGGCTGAAACGAAATGCCCAGATGGAGGCTGTTTGTGGAATCTGAAGAGGGGAGAGAGAACATGGGGTGGAGAGACCAGACAGGAGAGGGAAAAAGACAAAGAGAAAACCACACACGAGAGTAGGCTGGGGGAGGCACCACAAAAAACAGACGCACAAATACAGACAGACGCTGGGAGGCGGGAGCTGGCACCTGGGAGGCGGGAGGAGCCGATCGGCTGCAGGGGGCGGGGAAGCAGGAGAGACAAAGGCCGAGGAGCAGGCCAGGCCTTGGGCTAGTCCGCCAGCCACCAGCCGTGGAGCTCACCTGACCTTCACCCGGCCTCTGTGGTGTGACAGTGCCCAGTGCCTCTGCCAGGCCAGCACACCAGTGACTCAGGCACACCGGATGGTCCCAGCTTTTGTCCTGGTTGCTTGCTCCCCACAACACCCCCACCCCCACACAGGTCACATTCAAGTCATGGGGAATGGGCAGTGGGCTCCGGCTGGGGTGCAAATTCTGGGGCTCCCCACCCACCCAGCTCACTTCCTTCCCAAGGGCAGAGGTGGCCTGAGGGCTGCTCACTCCAGCGGGACCCTCCCCCACGCACTGAGCCTCTGTCCTAGGCTGCCCTGCCACATGAGACCAAGGGGGGGGGGGCGGCTCCCAACTCCCCAGCACGGCGCCAGGCACAATCCCCACGATCCCGGGCAGAAGAGTCACGAGCAGGATGAGCTCATCCAAAGGAGCGCCACGCGGCCAAACCCGACACCGGGGGCAACGAGAGCCCAGACGCAGGAGTGTGGACCCCCCCCCACCCGCACACTGAGCCCCACACGCTGCCCCCTCTCACCCCCTCACCCCGCCCCAAGCTGGCAGGAGAACCAGAGGCGCAGAAGGGCGTCAGGCAGGAAATAAATAATGCCCAGAAGGGCCTGGCTCTGAAGTGGACCAAATGGCTCTCCTGTCCCATGTTTATGGGGTCATGGACCATTAAACCAGCCAACCTACAGATGTCTTCATACGACTTTATGGGACTGGGCTGGGGAGACCCTATAACTCAGCCACAAGAGGGGCAAACTGCAGAGAGGGCGACCTGGTGCAGCCTTCAGGGGCGGGACGTCGGGGCCCTAGGGCCCCGACCCTCACATCCACCCCGCTCTCAGCATCTCCAGGGTACACGGCCTACAGCAGACTTCCGCTTCCCGGCAAGTCCTTGCCGGTCTGCACATTCTGCTTGTCCCCCCAACCCAACTTCTACCTGCCTCTCCAGTCGCCAGCCCTCCGACCCCACCTTGCTTCACGAAGCTTCCTTTGGCGCGTGTGAAGCCAACCAGACGCGTTTCAGCCAGCTCCCACACGCTGGGATTCAAACCTGGCTTAGGCGGTAACTTCCCAGGTTCCAGAAAGCTTGGCCGGCCGCTTCCAGAGGCGCCTGCCTGCCTTCCCCAGACCGTCTGCACAGACCCACTGCGCCAGAGGCTTTCGTCACCCTGTGGCTATCTGCAGAAAGCCGGAGACCCACAGTCCTTACAGCAAGGACCTACTGTTACATACAGCGAAGCCCCCTGCTGAACAGTTACTGCTCAAGTCCCGCTGCTCTTTCAGGAACAGATGTGACTCCTGGCTGACTCCGTGGTCCCAACTCAGGGTTTTGCGCAAAGCTCAGGTGTGCAAATAACCACGCAGGAACCGTATTTGAAAAGCAACCATTTATTAGAACCAATACAAGAGTATGAAAAGAGGGGAGAGGGTGGAAGAGGGGGACAATGAGGTCTGCACTGGATGTCAGTTGTGGAAACACATAAATTGCCTACTTTTAAACATTTACATTTAAATGGTGAACATATATATTTCACTTACCCTAAAAAACAAAAACAAACCCCCCCCCCAAAACCAAAAGCAGACATGTTTGGCTGAAATAAAACAAAGAAATACAACCAAAACTCCCCCACAAACCAAAGAGGTCCACAGAGAATTCAGTTTCCCACTTTCCGTTCAGAAACCTGGCTACAAAGTGTGATCGGTTTCGTCACCCAGGAGGGAGGCGCTGAAACCCACCCGAGTCTCCCGGTCCCAGCCAACTAACTCCTGGCCACCCGCAGGGCAGAGGCTGCTCTCTCAGGGCCCACAGAGCCAGGCGGTGTGGCCAGAGCGGGGCCCCAGGGGCAGAGCCCGCAAGACGACAGGGCTGGGCCTTGTGCTTTTCAAGGGTTACACGTCAGGGCCAGGGAGGGGGAAAGGAGAAAGGGCCCTACTGGGAAGGGGGCTGGCTGAGCCCCCAAACAGAGGAGAGCGAGGCTCTCGAGCCCACAGCCCGGCAAACAGGAAGTGTCCCAGATTCCCCCAAAGGCCAGCGGGTTCAGACCGTGGACGCCGAGAAAGAGGTCACAGGTGCCGACCGCAGTGAGCCGGATGAAGCCTGAAGGCACCAGTGCCCATTCCGAGCACTGAGCATACGCAGAGAAAAATTTCCAAAGTGGCCCTTTTTTGTGGGGGACAGTGGAAGTGGTTCCACTCCTGAACCAGCCGGTTTCCACGGGAGGGCGGACGCTGGGGCGTGGAAACCACAGAGGGGTACAGCTGTCCTGGGGGCAGCTCGGGGCATGAGAAACAATGACAGAAACCAAAAGCACTGGGCTGGCCTTGCTCTCGAGGCACCCCGAGTCTGCGCCGGGGAAACACGACCCCGACCCCCACGCCGCAGAGAGAAACAAGCAGCGCCGAGCCTCAGTCCCTAACCCAGTGCCCTGGGCCTGAAACAGTCTCTCTGTGGGTGCGAGACACAGAAGGTACCGAGTGGCTTCCCCCAACAGCCTAGCAGGTCTGGACCTGCTGGCCACAATCACGCGGACACTGTCAACGTCTGAACTAGCAGCTTTGGTGAGGGGCGGGGGGCGGAGCACGCGCCAGGTCGCGAAGCGGCTCCCAGTGTGGGCAGCCACGTTGAGGACGGAAGCCTGTGGGAGGCCCCGGCCAAGGCCTCCTCCACCCAGGGCCGGGCAGTCGCCTGTCACCTCTGACTTAGATGCCTCACAGCACCCCGTGAGGTAGGTCAGTGTTATCACCCCCATTGGACAGGTGGGAGCTGGGGCACTGAAAGGAGTGACTTGCCCAAGGTCAGCCATCACCAGTGGGCGAGCAGGGCGGCACACAGCGGGCACCGCTCTGTTCTCGCTCCACGCCCCACAGCGCTTCATGGCCCCAGAGCACACCCGGGAGCCAAGGAAGCCGGCGGGCTCGCCTCACGCCGCAGCCCGGGTGAGCCCGGCCCGCCCCCACAGACTCACCCTGCGCACCCCTCACCCCGCGCAGCGAGCGGCACCTTGGGGAAGGCAGGTGCCGGGCGATGGCTGTTCTGAAGACAGGGCAACATCTCCAACAGGCACCCTCTTGCGAAGAAACAACCATGGTCTACTACAGCGAAGGGCTGAGTCGCGCTGGGAGCCGCGGCTCTGAAACCGCCTGGCGCAGGGCCGCACTCAGGCGGGAGGCGCGTCCCTAGCCGGGCAAGCGAGAGGGGAGATGGCTCCTCTCTCCACAGGGGGTGGCGGAGGGCCAGGGCTGCTGCCTGTGCTTCCACACACCGGCAGGGCCTTCCCCGCTCTGCCTCCGCTCCGCTCAGACGCAGCATCTTCTTAAGCAGCTCAAGGGTCAGAACAGCCGGACTCCCCTAAGATTCCGTCTCCCCGCCAGGGGAACTCTCACCAGAAAGGGAAAAGAGGAAACGCACCCCCCACGCAGCTCTGGGTTCAGGTGGAAATCATGACCCCCGTGATACTGAAACTAGAGAGAAAAAATCCAGCCAGTCCTGGTGCAGACTCAAACCCTAGAGCGACTGCCAACAGCCAGACACCAACTTGAGCTTCCCGAGCTCTGCGACGCAGACTCTGCTCGGGATCTTCAGGCAGAGGCCTCCCCTCCCCGCTGCACCCACGCAGGTGGCCAGAGCAGTGGGGCTCCACGTGACACAGAAGGCCAAGGAGCCACGTCAACACATGCCGCAGAACGTCCACCAGGACCGTTCTGGCTCTGGCAAAGACCGACCATCCCGAGACCTGAACATGGGCCAGCCCGGCCTGGGAGAGGTCAAGGGCGGGGTCAAGTGTGAGGTCACACCAGCCGATGCAAGGGGACACCGCACGCACACACACACACACGAAGAAAACGACCAGATAAAAAGTTCCATTTCATTCAATTTGGTCTTATTTCTCGGTAATAGTTTCCTATTAGATTTTCTGATTAATACTGATGGCTCTTACCTAGGCTGTGATAATTAGGTTTTGATCTATTGTGACATTAATGATCACAATCAGTTGACTTTGAAATTGTCTTAATTAATGGCTCTTCCCGCGCAGCAGGCACTGCCGCCAGTACAGGTGGCCCCTGCCCCCACCTGACTTAACTCTTTCACTGACCTCAGGAACAAACAGCATTAGAGGATCTCATTCTTTCTCTTAAGCGAGACCTTGAAACTGCCTTAAAACGTTTCTCTGACAGAGGGAGCAACGAAGGACGTTACATGAAACGAGGATCAGGACGAAAAGGCAAGCGCCTGCGACCTCCAGGAAAACCCCGTCGCAGCCGGCGACCAGAGTCAAGCGTGTTAAAGTGGCAATGACAAGCTGAAGTAACCCTAAGAGGCACGGTGAGGTAGTTAAAATTCAAGAACTCCAGCACATGCGCAAAGCAACTAGACTGTTTGTATGAAGCTATCCAAAGTACCTCCACAGTCTAAATTTTCCAGAAGTCACTCGAATTCCTGGGAACTGACTTCCCACTAGTCAACTAGTCAGAGAAAGGTGTCGTTTTCTTGTAGCCAAAGATGGGTCAGAACTAAGACATTTCTTCAGGTTAGACCGTTTCTTTCCACCCCCCCCCACCCAGCTCTCCCTGGGCTTGCTTAGGTCTCAAACGCCAGGATGTGGGCATTTCCGGGAGTGATGGAGTCCACGTGGCCAACAGGTCTCACCGGAGACCCCCGTCTCGCTGCCGAGTGAACTACACCTCAGAAGGCACACGGGCACTAACAGATGTGCCCACGCCTCTCAGCGACTCGTCGCTGGGAAGCATGTCCGGCTGTGGGCGTAAAGCCAGTCTCCTGGCGATTCCTCCAAAAGGAATGAGAACGGCAAACACTGAACATCGCCCATAAAATGCCCGGGCGGGGGTGTGCTGTTAGCAGCGACATACACAGGACCTCAAGAGTTAATACTCTGCGGAGGATTCACGGCACCATTGAATACTTTGGCAAAGAGCCTACAATGGGGTACAATCCGGGCTCTCAACCCCCATCACCTGTTGTTTCCTCTCTCAGCGGCATTTCTAACTGACCTTCAGTTGTCTTTATTTTCTGGAATAAATTAAGCCTTTGTTGTGGTCTATCCACGGCCAGTTAGCTCAGCTCACCCAGGACCATAGATCTTGTCCACGTATGAACCAACTGTCATCCTCCTACCTAAGGACCATGAATTATTCCAACATCAGACAGTTGTCCCTGCCCCCGCATCAGAAATGTGTGCCCATTTACAGCATTTATTATACTGAACTATCAATAGTCAGTTTATTCCACAACATGCAAGTTCCTTGTGGTCAGGGACCAAAAAGTGTTTCCTGAATGAATACTGATGTAAGCTAATGTGGCGGGGTGTGGACAGCTCGATACAAACTCACCACTATTAATTGGGTGGGGTGGGGGTGGGGGGCCCAATTCAGAGTGCATGCTCTAGGGTGCAAGGCTAGTAACACTTCCATGTTTTCAAACATCATTTCTATGCTTAGCGGTAAAGCTGGCGCAAAACTGGAGCACAGTGGGCCCTCTCTCTGCCCAGGCACAGGGAAGCCTGCTAGGTGACCGGATTACAAGGTGAAGAGACCTCCACACTAGACTTTCCATTCCAAAAGTCTAAACCAAAGGGTAGTGTCATGGGTGTAAAATGAGCTTTCTCTTTGACCTACCTGGAGACAATTTCCACATTTTAAAATCTAATGACATAGCCCTTTCAGGGGCTCTCATGTTATCACAAAGCAATTTAGGCTCTCAAGTCCAAACCCTGAGGGTCAAGACGGCCATTCCCCAGCCCCTCCTGACCCTCCACTGTACCTCTGTTGAGCCGAGCTAAACCACAGATTCACCATCAAAAGATGAAACTCCCAAACACCTTCCCCAAGGCCCAATGATCTAGCCTGAGTACAAGGAGAATCGACGACAGGGTGGCTATAGAATAAGAATGAAGAGAAGTTCAGAACAGTCTCACTGCTCACGCTACAGAAACACGACGAACCTTCCATCAACAAGACACTATTACAGATGCGGCTGCGGGCAGCAGGGCCAGCCTTGGGGCGTAAAGGAGCACCACCGGCCCCGAGGCCCCTCACCCGAGGCAGGAGGGAAGCGGCCGGGCACGCTCCAGGTAGGCCGGGCACGCTCCGGGTAACGCCGGGTGCTGCCATCAGGGCTGAAGTTCCCAAGAGCTGGCTGGAACATGCGGGCATCTGTCCGGCTCAGAGTTTAAAAACTGGCTACAATGACTGGCCTTGGTACTCGCAGCCAGGCAACTCTGCTCTATTCCGGGGAGAGGTCCTGAATGTTCGTTACTAAAGGAAATTAGCATAGAAAAGCGCTTTAAAAGAGGACTACAGGCAGGGAAAGCGTGCTGTGAGCAACGGAGCCCACTCAGAGCCCGTGTCTATCAGCTCTTCAGAGAGGAGAAAGCCCCGCGAAGACAGGTTTCTGGTGGAGGCTGCAATTCTCCACGGGCCAGGACGGCCACTGGGCACTCACGTTCGTGTCACAGACGAGCTTCGGCTCCTCCCCACCAGAGCCTGCAGCCAGGACGGGCCTCTGGTGCCTGCATTCCTAGAGCAGCTCATGGGCAAACAGAGGGACAAAAGTCGTGGTGGTGGTGGCCACAGTGCAGACCACGGCCTGATTAACTGCGGGCAGGAAACAACGAGGAAGGACGGCGGGCAAGGAGTGACGAGCAAATGGTGCTGCGGCTCTCCTCTCAAAAGCCAGCCAGGTTCTTAGGAGCATCGTAAGCCAACACCTGTAACCACGGACACAGAGGTGTGTCGGGACCAATGTCAGTGTGAAAGACCTTTGTCCTGCTCTTCACCGACAGTCTAGATTTTGGTTTCAAAGACACGGTCACTGTGCCCTGCACGCCCACCGCTCGTGGGCTTCACCGGCCACCTGCGCAGGCCGCTCTTTTCTCCACCCGCAAACAGAGAGGCAGGCAGGTCACCGGCGCTCTGCTGCCCTGTGCTGATCGACCCTAACTCCAGGCTGGTCACCCGGACTCCCCCGGCTCCTGCGCCTGCTCTCGCCGACATGTCCATCGGCGGGGTGCCCAGAACTGTCAGGTCCCCAGCCCTTGATCCAGCCCCTTCACTCCTCCAGAGCAAAGAAACCCAGAGTAAGACCCCCGCCCACCCGAGGTATGGGCGCCCACCCGAGGTATGAGTTACGAGCGCTCACCCAACCATGACACCCCCGGTAAGGCTCTTCCTGGGTGACTCACACCAAAAGCTATTGTTCCAGTCTGTCATGTCACGGCAGCAACAGCTGTCTTCTCAACTGCGCAGTCCAATTTTTGCCATAATTTATACAAGCACACAGAAGTCAATCAACAGCTGAGCAGGGAAGCAGTGTTAACAAATGCTATGAATGGGTGTAAGATTTGCACATTATCTGGCTCATCTGTGGACTGGAGCAATCTCTCCATTTTCCTTGTTACTCTGAATAACCTAGGAACGGCCGAATGCTCCGATCAGACAGCTGTATGTTTTAAAGGTCAAAAGCAACAACACAAAACAACCTCCACGGCAGTGAACTCGAGTGTTAAGGCTATTTCAAGCATTTGTTCTTATTTCCTCAGCTTTGGGCTGAGACGAAGATGCTCAAAACCCTGCGATTCCCTTACTTTTCGTCTCGATTCTCAAGCCCCACTCCTCTGCCCCAGGAGAGGGTAGAGATGAAGTAGGGCATTTGTTAGGGGACAAAGCCAGAGGAACCCATGAAAAATAATCGCTCGATACAATGGCAAAGCAAGAGGAAGCCGGACGAGAAACTCCTCTGTGAGAGAACTAGTCAGAGAAGGCTGTGTCGACGCTAACGCCAGGCCTGCCGCTCTCGAGGTGGTGATCTTCCACAGAAAGACACAACTAAGCGTTTCAGGGTGGAAAAAGGGAAGAGCGTTAACACTTCGGGCACTCTCGGTGGCAAATCCAGGAGTCCACAAAGCAGGAAGCTTACGACTATAAACACTGAAAATAGTTAAAGTTGACGCTGTGGCCGGTGGCTCCCTTCCAAGAATTCCCCCTGAAAGTAACGGCATGGGCAGGAGACTTGGGTCCGCTGAGAGTGAGGGTCAGGTTTGAAGCCTCTTTGGTAACAGGAATGCTTTGGGAGGCCACAAAAGTTGGCAGGGCTGGAGGGTGCCTAGCACCTTGGCACAAGCAAGCACCAGGCAGTCATTCACACCTACATACATATCTAGTCCAAATATGAGGGGTGAAGGAAGTAATACACATATGCCAATGTGCTAATAAAGACAACTGCACCCTACCCCGCCAACCTCATGGACGAATAGCCATAAATCTCCACCGTTAATAATCTGTCACTTCGTGACAGACTGCGCCACCTTGCAGAAGCAGAGATCAGGGATTTCTAAGGAACAAGGCCAGAAGTTCCGGGCCATGAAGAGTGCCTTGGCGAGTTTCAATGTCAAATTCCCAGTCCTCCAAAGGATGGAGCTATTCTGGGAGGACGGGTGAGGGTGAACAGATGGTGGTCCTGAAGACCACACCGGGAACCCTGTGTTCTCCTGGGTCGAGTGGAATGAGGTTGAGGAAGCCCCAACAGGTAGGCAGTTGCTACTGGCTTTTTAAAACTAAGATGGGCAACAACTTTTCCATCCCAACACCTCAAAACAAAGGCCGGCTGGTCATCAACATGTTCTAAAACTCACAACAAGAAACCCCAACTTATCATACCTGTAACAAAATCTCCCAATCTAAATGCAACCAATCCTGAAAAGATCAAGACTCTAAGGTGATTAAAAAGTTAAAACTCATCTTGAGGTCACAGGGGAGAAGGAAGAGATGAGGGCAAAGGAAAAAACTGTGGGGGTTACACACAGTATGTAAAGGCCTGATCTTCACAGAGAAACACGCATCATGAATCAGACCGTCAGTCATGTCACAAGAGAACCAATACCGACATTTCTCCTGCGGAGCACAGTGATAAGCACATTGTTTATGATGTGTTTAGGAGGGAAGGGGGTGGGTGGAGGGAGAAGAGGCAGGGAGGTGAGCGTAATATATACAGAGAGAAGTGACAGAGACCACCCCTTCCTTTAGCTCTTCGCAGTTTCTTTCTCTTTGTTTTCCGCATCCTCGGGATACGCATGCCACGTCAGTCTCTCTTCATAAAACGCTATCACAATCTGTGGACACTTTACATTAGCTTCTTTTGCAAGAACCAGGTCTGCTTCATCTGTGTCTTTCCTGGAGAGGGAATAGAAGACTTAGAAAAACAGGAATCTGAGAGTGAGCGTGCGATCGGAGCTTTATGCCTGCCGTTAGCTGGGGTTAGCGGACTTGATTTCAAAGTTGAAAAGGCCACTAACAGTTCAGGACTTCCAAGGAGAAATTTCAGTGAGTGATTTTATCAGTGGAGATCATTTAGCTACTCCACCAGGCAGAAACAAGTTTCCAGCTGGAATTCAGATACAAAACAGCAAGCTTAATTGTACTGTACTCACTCGGGTCCATCATTTGAGTCAACACAATGAGACCTACATCCTGTCCTACTGACTGGTTAAGCATGAGTTAATCAACCAACCCAGTATCTAGATCACCTCAACGAAATGGTTCTAACCCTCCTCATCCTGGGGTCTTGAGACAGTCATTATCCTCTCGCTCAGAATGGGAACAAAAAGAAAACACAAGCGTAGGTGACGGCACCCTTACTTCTGCAAGGGAGAGTGAAGGGCAGTGTGGCACCTGGCACTGACTGAAAGGCAGGCGCTGGCTGCAATCGCGCCACAGGGGCTGCTCTGACTGAACACGCTAAAAATGAAAGGACTCCAATCCAGGGAAAATTAAGTTACAGTTCCACTGAGACGGGAGCAGACGACGTCGTCCTCTTGTGGAAAGCTGCGCAGTTTGATTCCCAGAGGTACTGGGGCGAGCCGAGGCGGGGAGAAAGCCGCCGCTCGAGCGGCTTCGCGAATGTGCACGGTTGCAGATAACGTGTGCACTGCTACGTCACACATCTGCTGGGTGGGAGAGGCCGTCTCCGCAGCTCCGTCCTCTGACAGGCCGCTTCGGAGTAACTCACCAACAGAATTTGAATCCGGTGAAATATTAAACTTCAGAATAATACGACTTTTGAGGTAATAAACTTCCCTAGCGGCACCATAGCATGAGCCTCCTATTTACAGATGAAATTTAAATCACAAGCCCAGAACACTCAGCAAGAGGTGGTGAGGGCCACACCGTAAATCACCCGCCCTTCGGTAACCAAGTTGAGGGGAAGTAGCTACACTTTCCTCTAAGAGCTGTTCCCTCGACCGGATGGAACAGCTCGCGCTTTGGCCAGTATCAGACTTAATGCTTTCTGTTGAGCTTATTTTTCTCTTGTAGACATTATTCAGTGGTCTTGGAGCTCAGGGATGGCGGAAAAGTCTCACTCAACTCCCACCCCATGGCCACAGGCTCCCAGCCTGACGGTAAATGATTCAGAACTGTGTGAATAAATGGTTAGGTCATGCCATAGGCTTCCTACCTCAAACCTAACCCTTTCTGGTAAATGGCTAATATAATATAATCTGGCTAAATGCTAAAAGTTGACTGTCATCAATCCATTCAGAGTCCTAATTCTCCTTAATACTGACAGTTGGTTTCAGGTAAAAGATACTCAGCAATCAAAATTCTTAGGAAATACTCAGCCCTGCCACCTTATCTTCCCAACAAATTTAGGTCACTGACACACATAATCACAGCATGAGGTACAGTGTCTCTCACCATTTCATTAGGAACATTAAATCACCACAGGAATCTGTCGCCCCAATGATCTTTTCTGGTTCCAGTCCTCTCTCAAAGCCTCGAGCGATGTCACTGCTCTGCTATAAACAGGAGATGAAGAAAGGTTACAGCCTGGGGAACAAGGAACCCATTTCTCAGTTCAAAAAAGTACACCTGCAGTTACTATCACCTGAAAGCATTTTGGTCACCAATTCATTACATTCTTGGAACTGACGACACAGTACTGGGTAGCACAGTGACAGCGACATCGAGAGATTTTTACAAGATGCACTCTCCTGCCAGTCTTCCGAAAAGACGAGGAGTGTCTCCGACACCCCGTACATGTCCTGGAGCCGCCACCCAACAGACTCCTCTGATCTAGACTTCCTAGCATTATACACGGGGCTAGCTCTAGGCCGTAGCTGTGAGAGGATAAGCAAATCCAAGTTTACTTCAGTTAGACCCTTTCCCACTTAAAACTCTCAAATATACTGCCTTTCTCAAGTTTTATTTTCTTAGACTTTTCGTTCCCCTTAACACTGGTCAGTTTGTAATAGTTCTTTTCACCATCATCAACATTTATAAAAGAAGAGAAGAAAGAATTAAGGGATTACCAAAAGATACAAATTCCTGGGCCCTCCCTGGTGGTGCAATGTGTTAAAGCGCAGCACTATGAAGCTATTGCAGCCACTGCCGCACGAGTTCGATCCCCAGCCAGGAGCTGACCCACATGACCGCAGCAGACCTCTCCTGACCCGCCCGCTGCTCCCCTCAGCAGTGGATTTCAGCCAATCTGCCTGTTCTGTTCCCCACTCTGACTCTGGTGAATCTTCTCACTCCCCCCCCCACACACACCTCTGGCCTGCACCCCAGCTCTTTTATGCACAAATAAATATTTAAAAAAATAAAACCTGTAGTTAGGAGCGAAGTGTTTGATGTTTGCACTGCACCTTTCAAAGTCCTTGGGTAAAAGATTCCAAACACCCTTCCTTAGCCTGGGTGCTCTTGCCTAAATTGGCCAATGATTGAAATCAAGCTCACAGATGTATCTGCAGATAGCTATTGGCTCATTGTGTAAGGATGTATCAGGCGCCATAAATATGCTAACCACCTTTCTCCTCACTGTGAATAACAGAAGTGAACAAAGTGATTCTTTTAAGCAAAAAAGAAAAAAAAGATTTGCAAACAGCTTTGACCCAGAGAAGCAGGGCCGCGTGATGACACAGCAGGGCCGGAGCCCTCGCGTGGCCATGGCGCTGGCGGGGCTGCCTGGCAGGGCTGGGCCTGAAGGGGGTTGGAGGACGGCGGATGGGACCGTCTCAGCGTCACTGACCATCCTCGGTCGCCGAGCTGCCCCTGATGCCAGAAGCTGAGAAGCTACTGGAGGAGGCATGGCAGGAACCAGAGAAGTTACACGCTCGGCTGTGACGTGGCCCTGAGCGGGAACACTGGCTATCGGTCAGTAGCCATCTCGGGCAGTGAGCGGAGGCTGCGGCCTGCACAGCCGGCGGGCTGCCCCTGCCCGGTCTGGAGCAGGCCTGTTTTGCCGTCAGCCCAGCTCAGCAGCACACAGGGAGGAGGATTCTAGGAAACTTGGTTCCAGTGAAGCTAGGTGGAGCCAGTACACAGCAGAGCACAAGTGTGGAGAGAGACGGGCAGAGCAGAGCAGAGGTTGGGGGGTGCAGGTGTAAGAAAGCGTCAACAATGAGCCGCCACGTCAAACAGGCTCCACTGTTCTGCAGGCTTGAAATTTTTAGTGAGAACGGGAGCCGGGAATAGGCGCCAGGTGCCAGTGGCTTCACGGCTGAGTTCTGAAGCCTTTAGCGCCAGTTTATCCCCGTCTATACAAACGGTGCCAGGCCGTAGGGACGCATGGAAGTTCCCCGTCTGCGTTACTGACATTACCTTAGCAGCCAAACATTATTTTTTTTTAAAAAAAGATTTATTTATTTGTGCATACAGAACTGGGGTACAGGCCATAGGCTCAGGAGTGGCAAGAGGCTTCACCAGAGACAGAGTGAGTAACAGAACAGGCAGATCGAGGAAGTCCACT